GCTCCCTGGGAATGTGCTGTGGCTTGCCTACTGGTTCTCATGGTGTCAGAAATTTCTATAGTTCCTGGTGATTAGTTAGTACCATGAAATAAACGTCTACTGTATGTATACCATATGCATTCTTTACAACACAACATGATACAATACAGTACAATTCAATACAATGTTATAGCATAAATGTTTCCTTTGCAAGCTGAGCTCACTTTGCATTTCAAGATACATTTCCGGAAGCAGAATCACTGGGTTCAAGGGTGAGAACACTTGAATGCCCTTGATATAGATGGTCTAGTTGTTCTCCAAAGTCTGCGTCAACTCTCAGGATCTTTGCTCTGAGAACCGCTCTCTTCCAGGAAAGACAGATATTTAAACAGGCCAGCCACACTGGCCCACTGGGTGCAGCGGAGCATGGCCGTGGTTAGTAATTCTGAGCATTGCTTGAGGAGCTCCCAGAATGTTAGATGACCGAGGACACCGTAGCTCAGTGGTCCTTAAAGTGTGTCCTCGGACCAGCAGCTTCGGTGTCACATGGGAATTTGTTAGAGAGGCCAGATTTCAGGGAGCCCCCCAGGCCTGCTGAATCAGACACTATGGGGGTGGGGCTAGCTCGGGGTTGTTACCAAGCCTGGGAACCAGGGCCTTAGAATGACTTGGGGGGAACAGGTGTTTCCAGGCAGGTGGAACCATACCAAAAAACAAAACAAAACAAAACAAAAAACAATACAACTGGAGGTTCTAGAACCAAGAGAGGCTGGGTTATGGCTCACCTGACCAAAGTGAAGAAGGCAGGGGAAGGGCAACACCTTAGGGACCAGACTAGATTGTGACTCTAATGCATGCTTTTTATGGAGGGAGAATAGGACAGCAGTGTGTCACCGTAGAAGGGCAATGTTAAGAGCGGATAATGGCCAGCATTTATTGAGTGCCTGCCTACTGTATACCCAAAGCTTTACACGTACCAACTCATCTAAAGCTCACGAGCCTGAGAGAGGTATTGTTGTAAGCCCTTTTTACAGACAAGGACATTGAGGACAGGGAGGCGAGATAACTTCTGGAGGGCACAGAGAAGGAAGAGGCCAAGCCAGTCTTGCCCTGGGCAGTTGACCCCTGAGCCCTGCCCTTGACTGCTGACCATGCCCCCCGCAGCTGAGCATGCAAGGAGAGCCTGGTTTGGGCCGCTGGGAGAGCATAATGATGAAACTTTCGATCTGTTCAGTAAGGGGAGGGGAAGAAGATAATTAGCACTTATGGACCATCTGTCGGGAGTGCGGGTTTCTCTGTAATTTTTACAACATCCTCATTTTGTCAATGCCAAAATTGGGTCTAGAAAAAGTCAGATGACTGGTCCTTCCACGCTGCTTCTAAGTGGCACATGGAGACTCGGGCCCAGGTCTGTCTGCATAAAGTCTGTGCTCTGTCCCCCCCGCCATCCTGCCTGCCAGGAGCACCTGTCATTTACTGGGCTCTTACCCTGTGCCTGGCACTACGTGATCTCCTGTCATCGTCACGCGATTCCCAAGGTGGGTCGCATTGTCCCATCGCGCACGTGTGGAAACTTGGGGTTAAGTGCCTCGCCCAAGTGAATGGAGTCGGAAAGCGACGGCTGTAAGCACATGTACCGTCCTCTGCCTGTCCCCAGAACATGGCCGGACTCTACCTGCTCAGCCCCCGGCCTCATTGCTGGCTTTGGTCAGCGACCCGTGTGCAGATGAGGGATGTGTCCCTGGTAGGCAGAAGCCACAGAGAAGAGCGACGTTTTCTGCCTTCGCTTTCCCTGCCTCAGTGTTGTTGAAGCGGGGGGCATGGGGGAGCCTTCCTCCCCCCGGGCCCTGGGGGGATGACACAGAGCCAAGCCCCATCCCGCCTACGGAAGACGCATGGTGCGAGACAGAGGCCACCCTGGGTGGTGGCGGCTTTAAGCCGCTGAGATGTGATTGTCACCTCGGCCCAACCTAGCCCATCCTGACCAGTTCAGGGTGTCTCGGGGGCTGAACGCAGCCCGTCTGCCTTCCAGGTCTGATTTTGCCATTACTGCCGTGAGCCCCTGTTGACACCTTTGAGGGTGGAGGGGACCTAACCGGCTGCCTCTCTTCTTCTTTTCAGTTGCTCAGAACGATGCTCCCAGTTTTTGCCCCTTGGCGGTTCTGCCTTTCCTCCCCGAGAAAGGTAAGTTGTCTTTTCAGCTTCTCTCAGGAGAGATCCACCTTGCTTTTCCTTCTTCTCCTCTCTCTCTTAGTTTTGCCCCGTCGTTGAGCGCTCGCCTGGGCCTCAAACACTCATTGATTTGAGCTCCTGGCAACTGCACACACGCATAGATGGGGCCCTGCTGGCCCCACGCCCATTTCACAGATGAGGAAACCGACTCCCAGTGAATAAACACCTTGGCCAATAGTGCAATCAATTGGAGGCAGAGGAGGGCTGGGTCCCGTGCCTGCAAGTTTCATCCCGAGGGTTGTTCTCACCCTGTCCAGGAGTGGCGAGACCTGCACGGTCCCAGGCCAGTGTCAGGTACTGTGGCCCTGTGGCCAAACAGGGAAAGAACCAGCTAGTGCTGGGAAGTAGAGGCTCACAGCCCTCAGTGCACTGGGTGGCACGGTGACATCTGAGGCGGGGCCCTGAGCCCGGGAGCATGGCCCAGATTGAGGCTGCCGCCCCCCCCCCCCCCCCGCCCCCGCCATGCCCCGTCTGGTCACGAGGCAGCAGGAAGTGCAGGCAGGTGGGCGCAGTGGTTTCTGGAGGCGGGTGAGCTGGGAGTGGTGCCGGAGAGCGAGGGCCTGGATGCAAGGCCCTGTTCTGCCTTCTCTGAGTCAGGAAATGACTCGAAGGGCCCAAGCGACCTTAATTCCTGCCCTGTGACATGATGTCTGAGGAGCTCCAGACATCTGTCATTACAGTGCTGGCTGAAGACACAGAATATAGAGCTGGTGTAGGAAGGAATCATTTAGCCAAGGCCGCGGCTAAAAGTATACATGTCCTCAGCCCATGGTGTTTCTTCCACCTGGCTCAAAGAGCTAACTTCGGAGATCATGCACACACACACACATACACACACATGCATTTTCTGCACAGTCTGTACAGAATTCTATCTGTGTCTAAACCCTTGGAGACTTTATGTCTAGGACTTTGACATAGGACTACAAAGTGTCCGTTTTCTAAAGTGCTGTGACGTAGGAGTTGCCTTTGTCATGTCACAAATGGCGGAGGGGGTGCTTCGACCAAGCAGGGGACACGTATCCCAACCAGACTTTGGTCAGAGTTGATATTGAGGTTTATCAAGATAACGTAAAGACAACTGAAATGATCACATCGTCTCCAGAGATTCAGGGTTTAGAAAAACCCGACCGGTTCCTTGTCCCACGTCTACCGCCTGCCATTTCTGCTTCCAGAGGCTATTGTGGTTAACTCTTCCAGCTGTGTTTTTCTCGCCCTGGCCTCTCCCCTTCTACCTTACACACGAATCCTGCTACTCCTCGATTTGTCAATCTTGGAAGTGACTGTGGGGTTCCCTCCTGTCTTGATAGGTGAGGAGTCGAGGTTCTCTTGTAGCACCCTTTTTCAATTTTCCTTCTTTGTCTCCAACATCTAGTCGTGTCAAGACTTGGGGTCGAAACAAGAGTATTTTTGTTCCGTCCACGGGCATGTGGCTCACTGGGGAGCCCCAGGGAGCAAGAGGGATCTCCTGTTGCCGTCACCAATCACGGGGTGTGGGCAGCGGACCCTCCTGTCTTTGTCCCGTGTTCCACCCCTGCCTTCCATGGTACCCCCCCCCCGCCTTCTTGGGCTTCTTGGGGTGCCCGTGAAACACACAGGTCGGGTCCGTACCTGCTCTGCAGGGACCTGGAGTGTTAGCTCCTCTGTGCTGACGTGTCCATCAACACACCTCCCTCTTCTTTGCCCCACTGAAAAATTTGTCGAAGTGTCTTATCTGCTGTTTGCCCGTTCTTGTTTTCTCTTGTCATCTTTGTGGGTCTAGACTTTTTAAATTCCTTGTCTTCATTTTTGTGGGAGGGAGAGAAGAGACGTGAGCCTCATTGGATTAAATGCGGCCGTATAATCTTTTCCGAAACGTTTCAACGTGTTTCGTCCGTTTTGTCCTCCGTCCTGCACCAAGCATTTGATCTTCGCACAGACCTCAAGAAACAGGTCCTCTTTTACTATCAGTCAGTTGTGGAATGTTCGAACCATGCGGAAATAGAGGAGAAAAAAAAATCACAAGAGTTACTTAGAAGTCATGTGGGTTCAAACATTGATTTAGTTGCTTCTAATCTCCTTAGCCTTTCCTGTGGTCTGAAGTACTTGTAATCTCTCTACAATGTTACTCTTTCATTGTTACCTAACAGAGCATCAGGTATATATTTCCAAATTGTTACTTATCTCTCTGAATAACGCATTCACCATGCATCTATTCATCCGTTCATTCATTCATTCATTCATTCATTCCTCTGTCCACATTCCTACTTTCGTGATGCTCCCCATCTGGTGAGGAAGATGCAGACAAAAACGGGCCAGTGTTGTCAGCTTCCGCATTTCACACTGCACTTCACTAACTTGCACTATTTTTGGGCATTTGATTGTTTATGACTCCTCGTCATTATGAAGATACCATAATGAGCACCTGGGTCCATAAAGCTCTTCCGAATGTCCAGGTTACTTCCCGGGGGACACATTCTCCAAAGCAGAATTACTGGGTTCGACCACTTTATATTTTAAGACTCTAGCTTTGTGTTGCCACGTTAGTCTCCAACGTCGTTTCTAGTGATATCCTCAGTAGCAGTGAGTTCGTTTTTCCATCTTGGAAATCTTGAATCCAAGATTGGAATCTTTCTCATTACAAAAGTGTTACTTATTCAGCGTGTAGATAAAGAATGCTCCAGGATCTGAATGTCAAATGCATACTCTTAGATACGAACAAATCAAAGTGTGAACACCTTCAGGGGCTTTTGCAGTGCTTCTGCTCTGTTTTTTTTTTTTTTCCCCCTGATAATTTGTATTCCTGGGACTCGAATTACCAACACAAGGGAGCAAAGGATGTAGAGTTTTGCATCCCCCTTCACACATGCAGTCTGTGGATCTGAGTTGAAGTTTCCAAGGCAGAATGACATGTCACAGGCTTCTGAAACAAGTGCGATTTTGACAAGTGCGATTTGAAAGCAGGAGGGACGTCGGAGTGTGCGTTCCATCTGGGCTCAGAGTTCCCACATTGGCGTGGAGAGTCTGGGTATGTTCCTCTGACGGCAGTCAAGCGAGGGCACAGTGCCGCCTCCGGGGTATTGATATGTGAGCGTGATTCTGACACGGATTGTGTGTGCGTGAGTGCGTGTGCGTGCACACACTTGCGTGTGTACCCCATGTGTATGCAAAATGCTCATCTTTATGCACTTCCTATCCGGAGAGGAAAGGAAATATTTATTAAACACCAAACATTTTACAAATCCTTTGGTGCTCATCAGAAAGTTAGATGGTGGCGAGGTGTGTTTCTCAAATAAGGGAGCTGAGGATCCGAGAGGTTAAATGAACCCCTGGGATTTGAGCCCCTGTGTATCTGGCCCCCCTCCAAGTTAGACAAGAACATCTGGTTTGAGTTTCTGGAAAGGGTGGCAGAGGTAGACTTCCAGCCCTAGACTTGTCCGGACACCTACCGCTTGGCCTTGTGTCTTGTGATGAGTTGGTGTGCATTAAGCCACTCATTCAAAGCCTCTTTGAAGAAGGATTCTGATGCACTGATGGGTCAGTGGGGGTGAGGGGAAGGGGAAGGTGACTTCCGAGCTCTCACAAGTCGGGGAGGCTTCTAACACGCTAGGTGGTTTGAAGATGGCAGGAGTTTGTCCAGTGGCCAAGTTTCAGTACGTCTTTCCCTCAGAGAGAGTGGTTTGTGTGTGCAAAGGCCCAGGGGCATGAAACAGCCTGGGGCGTTCAGACGTTGGAGACATTTCCATATGGTGGGCCTAGGCTCCTCAGTGTGTGTGCAAAGGCCCAGGGGCATGAAACAGCCTGGGGCATTCAGACGTTGGAGACATTTCCATATGGTGGGCCTAGGCTCCTCAGTGTGTGTGCAAAGGCCCAGGGGCATGAAACAGCCTGGGGCGTTCAGACGTTGGAGACATTTCCATATGGTGGGCCTAGGCTCCTCAGTGAGATGAGGCAGAAGGGCCGTAGGGAAAGGCTTTCGCTCGGGCACAGGGCTGGCAGGAGACTCTGTGCTGGGTTTGGCACTAGACCTTGGTACGATGACCTGGGGTGGGGGCGGGTGAACGTGGCAGGGAGCTCTAGGGCGGACGAGTTGGAGAAACGTGTTAGGGCCAAACAGCTCGTCCTTCCCTTCAGTTTAGTTCCCCTCTGTGCACATGTCTCTGCCAGCCACTTTTCGGGTCATGGATTCTGAGTTTTCACTTACATTCCAGAAAAGGCGCTGTGCTGGGGGCCAGAGGTCTTGACTGCAAGGACAAGGGCCGGCCTTCTAGTTGGGAGAAAGGCACAGGAAGTCAGAACTGAAGGATCTGAGCCACTTACCACAGTGGGGGCCTCGGGAAGCCTCCCCCAGATTCACCGCAGACAGACGGGGAAAGTACCAGAGTGCATCACGGCCCCACGTTGCGACATAGAGAAGGAGCATACGTTCATCAGACGTCAAGGGGGGAAAAGGAAGCCTCCTGGGTAGAGGGAGGTGTGCAAAGAGAAGCCCAAAGGTGTGCATCAGTGTGGCACATGATGAAATAGAAAGAGAAGTAGTTTAGGACTGCAAGGCCAGCGAGGGGCAGGGAGAGGCCGGATGGGGGACGGGGGCCGGAAGCCAGGTGCCTTGGCTGCCACACTTCCCTGAAGGCCTTTACACAGTTGCACACTGAGCTTTCAGACTGTTCAGAAGCCCTCCTTTGGGGCTGTAAGGGGAATGCGTTGGTGGACAGACAAGCTCGATTTTGAGAAAACGTGCACAGGCGTGTTATCTGTATATAGAATACCATTTTACTCGCTGGGGGGAATTTTGTACATTTTTAAAAACCAGTGAAACAGGAAAGCTGTCATTTCTTTATACAAGAAGATGTCCGTTGCTTCTTAAAAGACCAAGCAATCCAGAGAGGACGTTCAGGGTCAGCAGGAATCACCTTCTCAGAGGCAGGAGCCCACTGTAGGTGCCTCAATCTCCCCCTCTCCTGCCTGCCCAAACA